CACACAGTATTTAGCCTTTTTAGATTTGCTTCTTTTACTTAATACTATGCAGTTAAGTTTCCTCCATGTCTTTTCATAGTTTGATAGCTCATTTCTTTTTATCACTGGATAGTAGTCCATTGTCTGGATGTATCATAGTTTATCCATCACCACTGAAGGACATTTTGTTTGCTTCCAAGTTTTGGCAATTATGAATAAAGCTGCTATAAACATCAATGTGCTGGTTTAGTGTGGGTATAAACTTTCAATATTAAATCTTGAAGGATGAAGTTCAGTTAGCTAGAAGGCTGAATATTCCAGACATTAAGTAGCACAACTATTCAGGATTCAGGGAATTTCATTCTGACTGGCATGAAGGTTCCCAGTGTCCATAGAGGAACAGAGAGGCTGGGGTCAGAGCATGAATGTTCTCATGCTAAATTTTAAACTTTATCCTGAAGACATGGTGAGCTATTGAAGGTTTTCAGTAGGGCAATGACAGGTCCAGTGACCTAATTAATATTCTAGAAACTTCTCTCTGCCAGCCACATGTAGGATGGATTGAAGGAGATGAGGCCAGAGTCCTGCTTTCCAAGAAATGGAAGAAATGAGGAGACCCTGAACAGGGCATAGAGATAGAAAAGAAATTAAGGCAAGAGGCTCTGTAGACTTGTGACTGGTTGATGTGGGGATAAAGGTAAGCAGATTCCTGACTTGAAGACTGAGTGGATGGTTGCCAGGCAATATAAAGACATGGGAAGTGGAGCTAGTCGGGAGTGGATTAGAGACATAATGAGTTTTAGAATGCTTGACTCCTGGTTTTATTCCTTATTAGCTGTGTGGTCAAGAATAAACCCCGAAACTTCTATGTAAAATTAGGAAAGTGTTATTTACTTTAGAGGCAGTTCATACAGGGCAATATGTATGGAAGTATTTATAACTCAAAAAGGCTGTTCAATTGTTAGTTATCACATTATATAAGTCACATAAGTTGTTGCTCATGGAAGTGATTTTAAGGGTACCAAAAGGCATCAACCTCAAATATCTCCTACCTCTGAAGTCCCGCCAGCAGAATCCTTGTATTATGAATGCCCATTTAATTTTCTTGCCACTACACTGTAAGCTGCCCAAGAATAGGGACTGGATCTTGTTGGAACTTTTATCCCTGCCTGCTAGCAAGTGCTTGGCACATTATAGGCTCCCAATACGTGTTGAGCCAAGAAATGAAGGCATTTTATCTTCCAAGATCCTTTTTCTGAATAATAGCTTTATTGAGATATAATTCACAGTACCATACAATTCGCCTATTTAAAGTGTACAATTCAGTGGTTTTTAATATATTCACAGAGTTGTGCAAATACCACCACAATAAATTTTAGACCATTTTCATCAGCCCCAGAATATTTTCATCAGCCTAGACCCATTAACAGTCACTCCCCATTTTTTCTGTACCCTCTTCCTCTTCAGCCTTAGGTAACCCTAATCTGTTTCTGTCTCTATAGTGCCTCTTCTGGACAGTTTGTGTAAATGGAATCTATAATACCTAGTCGTGGACTTTTTTCACATTGTATGTTTTCAAGGTTTATCCATGTTGTAGCGTGTATCATAATGTACTTAATTTCTTTTTTTTGGGGGGGGAAATAATACTTTATTATATGGATACACTACATTTTATTTATCCATTTATCTAAAACAAAAACTCAACAGTGGCATAGGAACCCTCAGCCTCTGTCCCCCCACAAAGATCAACAATTAGAAAGCTATTTATGAACAGAAGTTCTGGGAGAGCTCTGGAGTCCACTTAAGAGACCAGCAACACAATAGAACAATAACCCTGAAAATAATAGCACAAGAAGAGAAGGAAGACAGCTTCATTTTCTCTGCATCGTCCTACATCGTTGGGGACAAACCAGCATTGCTTAATGCCAAGAAGGAACTTCCCAGCTAGAGAGAGTTCCCTTGCTGGGAAAGGAAGAGCAGGGTGAGGCACCAGCTTTTTGGGGCACTGCACACAGGTCTCACTTTGGTTTCATCCCAGCCAGACTGGCAAAGCTGAGACATATAGACATGGCTAGAAATAAGGAAGAAAATCAGGGGCTACAACAGCAGCCACATAGCAGGAATGATTGAGGTGCCTGGTGACCTGCTCTATAGACAAGGCCAGCAACTTGCAATTGAAGAAACCAATGGCTAGCACAGGTGCCATAAATGCCCTACAGATTTTACCAGCTTTCACTCCACAGGTATCCCTGCTTGCTGCTGCCTGCTGTCTGATTCCTTACCTGCTTTCTCCCCTGCTCCAACACTCAGAACCACACCAGCAACCAGTGCAGGCTTCTGGGTCTGCACAACTACAAGACACCAGCCTAGACCGCTGCAGTTGACCTCCATTGCTGTGCACACGCTTGAGGCTAGCTCCTCCGGCGGTGCATTTGCGTACTATAGGCCTGACACCCATCAGCGACCTCCACTATAGTACATGCACTTGGGGGAGGTTGTACAGTCGCAAGAGAGCATACCAATAGCCACTCTCCCCGACCCCTAACAGCTGCCTGTGGGCCTGGATCTGGCTGTGTCTTCCATCACTGGCCTGTACCACTGCACTCACCTGCAGCTAGCCCCTCCAACTGTGCACCTGCATACCTCTGGAGAGACCCTTGTCACTGGCCTCCACTTTGCCCTTAGGAAGACCAGAAACCGTGGTAGTGCACACTAACTAGAGCCCCTGCAACTGCCAGTGAGCATGCAGCTGGCACCAGCCCTTGCCCAATTCCCCGGCTCCCTCCACTACTGTGTCTGCAACTAGCCCCTCCCCTACATAGGCACCTACAGCTGGCCCTCTACAGCCTAGTGTAGAACTACCACTGGCTTTGGCCACCACTGCTGCTTGCCCTGGTCCCTAGCCACTGAAACTGGAGGTGCCACTGAAGGTTCCAACAGCCTTTCCAGTCACTGAAAACACCCTGCAGTGCTTGCCAAGGCCCACAGAGTTGTTGGTTCTGTGGACTCCTGTGGCCTGAGCCAAAAAGACATCATGCTCCCCTGGGCCCTGTGCTACCACATGTACCTGCACTTGTTGCCCTGTACCACTGGGTACACAGCATGCTCCAATGTGCCTCTACTTGAAGGTGAAAATTTTCCCTTACTGAATTCAGTCCATAAAGTCTGGAGGAGGTAATTGCTCCTTCAAATGCGCAGACACCTATACAAGGCTACAGGGATCATGAAGAATCAGGGAAATATGTCTCCACCAAAGGAATACAGTAAACTTCCAGTAACAGGCCCCAAAGAAATGGAGATCCAGGAATTGCCTGACAAAGAATTCAAAATAAATGTTCCAAAGATGTTCAGAAGTTACAAGAGAAAGATAAATAACTTAATGGTCTCAGTAAAACCACACAAGAACAACATGAGAAGTTCAACAAAGAGATAAAAATCGCCCTAGCCAGTTTGACTCAGTGGTTAGTGTCAGCCCGCTGACTGCAGGGTCTCAGGTTCCATGGCGGTAAAGGGCACGTACTTCAACTGCAGGCTCCATCCCCAGCCCTGGTGGGGGTTTGGGAGACAACCAATCGATGTATTCTCTCACACTGATGCCTCTCTCTTTCTCTGTCTCTCCCTTCCACTCTCTCTGAAAAGCAATGGAGAAAATATCCTTGGGTGAGAATTTAAAAAAAGGAAGAGATAAAAAGAATTAAAAGAAATTTTGAAGCAGAATACAACGATTGAACTGAAGAATTCAACAGAGGGCTTCAACAGCAGACTTGACTAAGCAGGAAAAAAAATCAGCGAGCTAGAAGATAGATCAATTGAAATTATCCAGTCGGAGGAGCAAAGAGAAAAAAGAATGAGAAGGAATAAAGCCTGTGGGACATATGGGACACCATTAAGAGAAACAATGTATGCACCATTGGAGTTCCAGAAGGAAAAAAGAGGGAGATGGGGTAGAAAGCTAACTTAAAGAAATAATGGCTGAGAACTTCCCAAAGTTCTGGGGAAAGATTTGGATATCCAAGTTTATGAAGCCAATAGGTCATCCCAAAATTTCAATGCAAAACATTCTTCTCCAAGACAAATTATAATAAAAGTGTCTTAATCAAAGACAAAGAATTTTAAAAGGAGCAAGAAAATTTTTTTTCTTATACAAGAGAAGCTTCATAAGGCTTCAGTCGATGTCTCAGCCAGAGACCTTGCAGATCAGTAGAGAATGGGATGATATGTTTATCCATTTATCAGTTGATGGACAGAATATCCCTTTTAGAATGAAATGTTCATCTAAAAGGAAGCATGAAAAACACCATCACATCAGCATGGAGTAGGGTGTGGAACACAGGATAAATGTATTTTGATGTGGAAGAAGAAGAGCCAGAATATGAGTTATGCTCCCCACTTTCGCCTCCTCTCTTACCCACCTCAAATGAGGGCAGATATGCAGGGGAAGGGGCAGAAGGGCTGTTTAGGAGTGCAAGGTCACATTGCTTAGTGGGCCTTTTGCAGTCTTATCAGCCTGGTGATTTGTGTAAACCTCAACTATAGCCAACCACCACCTTCTAGGAGCTTACTCTGATCTCTCAGGCAGTTTTTAGTTCTAACCTCATACTCGCAAAGAATACTGAACTTGCATTCACTTGCACTCCCCCCGCCCAGTATTGTAATGCTGACTAGAGGAAAGAGCCTGAAGTTTGAAATCAGACAGTATTAAATACTAATTCTGCCTGGTGACCATGAGGAAGTTTCCTGTTTATAGGCCTCAGAGTTGTGAAAATTAAATAACATAAAATAGGGGACATGTCTGTGATATAGGAAGGGACTTAATCATTTTGTGAATTTGGCACTCCTTCTGAGATGATATTTACATATATAAAATCTCAGGGCATTTGCTTGAAATTTCTTGAAGCAAACAGTATAAAATGAGTTGCAAAGTTCTGAGAACCCCAGAGCCTCCCAACCCTTTGATGGCATTGCCTTGCTAGGTCAATATCCTTGACCTGCCCAAACTGGCATTTTTGGTCCTGCATTACCTGTACTCCTTTATCACCTCTGCTTGTTTCAGAATGGCAGCTTGCCGATGATTGTCCGGGTCCCCAGAAAGTGCCTGGACTGTAGCGGCATCCACTTTCCTTTGGAGATTCACACGTACCACTTTTGTCTCATTTCCAGCTCCTTCTTTAACCACCTAGTATTTTCTGTATGGTCGTTACTGCCACTCTCCCACCCAGCTTTCAGACCTGAAACAAGAGCCTTCCATCCAGACAATTGTGGATTCGGGTCCTAAGTCTACCTAGCATCTCTCCTTATCTGTAAAACAAAATTTTAAAAAAACCATCTATTTTGTAAAGTTCTAACGATACGGATAAAGCGCCTAATGTGCGAATGATGCTTAAAGGTGACGCATCAGTACGACAGCGAAGAGCTTATCCTTTGGGGCGGGTCCGGTTTTCAGGCGGTCGGGCCCTTTAAGGAGGCGTCGCCCTAGTTTCCTGCCCGAGTCTCCCCGCCC